TCGTTCCGCAAACGCAGCACAGACTTCTTTCTGACTAGTATCTATTTTTGATTGTGCCCGTAGATTTCATGGATACACAGCAAAATTTAAATCGAGAATCCTAATCCATCCATATCTTGTGAATATTTTCCGTTCAAAAATATGACTAGAATGACTTCGATCCTACCTCCTGAACGCCCAGCTACGTGTTAGTCAATATTGCTTATAAGAGAAAAACACTGACTGTGAATCATGAAGAAATGCTTACATTTACAGCGAGTTTTATTTAGAAATAATGTCAGCATTTAGAAACTTTCGTCTTCTTATAGGCTCAGATGTTTTTTTTTTCATTTCATTCCACGATATATCAGTAATTCTCACATTTTGAAGAACTGGTTGATTTCGACATCACTTTCTCAAATATTTTGCTGTTATCTGTTCTAATCTAATGAGTACACACTCTTAGCCGGAGTAATTACCTCAGAGGGAATTAAGATATATTGGGACAATTAAGATAAGCTTGAGTTTAATCTATGCATTTAAAGATAAATTTGACACTGTCCCTTTTATTATAGATTCAGATGCGGATATGTCAGCATGTACGTGAATGTGTTAGTTTATTTCCAATATAGTATCACTTTACAGTTGTGAATGTAAATAACATTTGAAGTGTTTTCGTGGATATCTACTACGAGATGTCCAGCATCATCTATAGCGAAGCATATTAGAGAGAGGGGTCATAAGGTTGATTTTAACAATGCCTTTAAGCCGATATATAAAACAAGGTTGGGTCACATACTTAAATTCATTGAGAGCCTTAGGCATAAAAAGACTTAAACCTGTCTTATGCGTCCAAAAGTGATTTGTTGTCACCTTATACCTGCCTTGGTAATCCAAGCTAGAACCAAGGACCAGTTTACTTCACAAATATTTTCAACCCCTTCTTTGCCTTGTTTTTCTCTCCTCTTTTTATCTTTCTCACCCACACCTTTTGATCCTCCCTACCCACTATCTGTGACCTTGGCCTGTACACAATCTGACCTGTGTTGTAATTATCCATGCCTTCCTGATTTTTATAAAAACTGTGTATGACAAGTACGTGTGTGTGTGATCAGAATGTCCGAAATGTAATGTGCCAATACATTACACGTTTCAGATAAACTACGTCTTCTTATTATGTTGTCGAAATTCATAAAATGAACTAATTGCTTTAAATTTCTCATGAGTTAGTTAACGGATAAGGTATAAATGAACACCACCAAAACTACTTGTTTACTTCAAAAAATGACTATCTAAAATGAGCTGTACACTGAGTTAAACTTGCCAGTATTTAGACAAGAAAATACACGATCATTTCGATAAAATCGCTTCAAAACATGTGCATGTCAAGTCTGATTAGCAGACGCAGAGGGCGCAGATAACTCTGTTGAACTCTTGAACTTTTAAAAATCCATTCGTCCTTCATTCATTCGTTGATCATAAAGAAATTAATTGCTTAAGTATGTGAAACACTCTATCGTCCATTGTCGCCTTGAAATCAATCCGAAATTCTTCCAGGGCGAAGCAACTGTGTAACTTTAGGTAAGTTCCTTAACACTGTCTGAACAAATATTATTTTCACAGGTAAAATCTTGATTTCATAAATATATGTGTCGATTTGTAATTATCCATGCTAGACTCAGTATTGTTATATCAGTTTATTCTAAATGAAGTGAGTCTTGCTCTCAGTTGAAATCACTAATTCTGAGAAAGAATGCGGGCTATCATAGAAATAGATGAGTGATAATACTGACAGGTTGTCAAAATGTTGTGAATGAAATTACTCTTCTGTTTACTTGTATGAATTATCTTGTGTGGAGTTTCTTTATGAGGTCAATAGGATAGTCAGCTTTCCATATGAGTACAAGAATATAGCGTGAGGACCTCATTTGTATTAAAAGTTGGTTGATGGTGGTTATCAGCAGAATTTAATACATGCAGCCTCTTACTTCATCTTGAAGTCGTCATCTCGTCCTCTATACACACAAGGTATTCATGCATGTGGATTCTACAGCTAAACGCCACCATACAATAGATTTTAGATTAGAGATTGTGGTAACAAGTGTCATTTGATCAAGTAATCCATATGCGGGATTGAGAAGGCATGAATAAACGTTTTACAAGTAGATTGTATGGTATCTGCCTTGAGATTTAAAAGGATTGTTTATCTATTACGATCAATCCACATCAAAGCTACATTCAAATTTCCCTCTTTAGCATAAACTACTTATAAGTAGTGTTCAACATTTCTCTTGAAATCTTTAGTATTGTTTTACATTCACTTAAAGGCTTAGTATAGATTAAGACAATTGATGTTAATGTATGGTCAGTTGGACCAAACATTAGATTGCTTAATTAGCATACACCTCTATTTAGATATGAGTTATTGATCTAAAATTGTAAAATGAACTACAATTTCATTTTAGCTGCAAGAAAGCCAGTGTGTAAGTTGGTTTTGAAGAAATCGTCCATATATGCCATGGCTAGCCATATGAGGCTAAACTCAGCCAGACTTTATTCTAGACTTTTTGTACATCTTTTAGGATAGCAGTTCACTTGCTTGAGATGTCAATTTCATTATTGGTCTACAGGAAAAACGTCTTTTATGAATTGTTTTCAACACTTTGAGTTTGTTTGAAAGCAGAGATTAAATTATGACGAAAGCATGGACTGAGAAGAACACGGTTTCCATGCTTAAGGTTGAATATTTCAATGGTCACTATCATCCTGGTTATCAAAGATTCACAAACCCATGAAGTTACAGTGGCACTCAGTTGACAATGACAAAACTGCGCCAGGAGCATTCGAATGCTTTATTGATTAAAGGGATCAGGGAAAAAGAGAGTTCCACCTTTTTAATATTTAACCGATAGATTTTAACACTTCTAGGTTTGATTATGCATCCTAAACAGGAGGAGGTTTAACAAGAATTCTGAAAAGTTTCAATGTTTTGCGCTAAAAAGCATCAGATTTTGAAGAAGTACTTAGTGCCTCTCGTCTCTTCCGCACTGACGATTTATTCATGGAACCAGTAGTTAGCCTTAAAGAAAGTAGTTAATATTTACTAAAAATACTAAAAAGATCCTAGAACGAAGACTATTCAATATATATTTTGGATTATTATAGTGGTAGTTCACCATTTCGGGTATAATATTCAAATGAAAATGAATCCACTGCCAATTAGCGATTGATGCAACGGTGAACGTCTCGGGGTTCCCACGATAAGGTGTCATAAATGGGATCTTTCAAACTACCTGTAACAACAAATGTTCCCAGTGACGCTGGAAATCGTTTACGAGTGAATAATCTTTGTCAGAAAACTTTGTGAAGTCAGACACACAACACAAAATATTCATACTGTAGTCATGGATTTCTGCTAATAATCCTAAATCTACTGAAAAACTTTAGTATTTATACTGATTATATTTATGATTGAATAATAAGTAGTATTATCCTCACAATTAAAAATAATTTCAAACATAAGACACTTGATGAAAGCAGAAATAACTTCAAATCCCCCCTCCAGCCTAAATGTTCCTAATAAAGTATCCCATTTCTGCTTACTAGGTGGAACTGTTTGCGGTAAAAGTAAGTGCAGTGCTAATGTTTATTCGCAGTAGTATTAGTAGCGGTTATATTACTGGAGAAAATGCAACTTATTGTGGAAATGTTCTTAAGAGAAACTTGGATAAACATTCTGAAAGCTTAAAGTTGAGCAAACATGAAGTCTTACAGGTTCATTCAAATTTATGGATAAAAGTGGTGAAATAAACCAAGATTATGAGTTATGTAGGGTAACGGCGTCCACTATCTAATCATTCCTTATAATCGCCATCGCCTGCTTAATTGGAGACAGGTTGATTAAGGAGCTTCGTCGAGGCGAATTTGAATAACACTACCTAGTACCATAAGTATTCATCACTAGACCGTTATCTGACTATTGTTTGATGGCCGCAGATATTACACTCTGTTTACACATCATTCTAACACCTGTGTAATGAATAAATTTGGCGGTATTCAATGAATATATTTTTAAACCATTTAGATAAGGCAGAACTTCTACATAATTGTGAGTTAATATAAAGTTATTATTTATAACGTTACTAGAGTTGGATTGATTTTACAAGGGTCACTTTTGGTCAGGTATCTTCTTTTATCAGAGAATGTGTACACTTTGGAGTTAACTTAACAAATCTACATTAGAAGAGGATATCACAGTGATCGCTTTGTTGAAATTTATGGAGATAGTGTAGTCATTCATTAAATTTTATGCATTTAACAAGATATTGAACAAGATATTAACTCTCTAACATTTTCCCGGACGTGCGAACGTGTCTCATACATTCATACATACACTTGGATTTTTGGTCACTTAGGCACTTAACAATGGAAAATAATAATTTCCCTTCGACATTTAGCTTCCATTCACTTGTAAAATAAGTAAGCATTGAATCAGGCCGAAAATTCTGTATATCATGGTAACACAATATTCGGAATAAAGCACTTATTGTAACAACAGAAGACAAGGGCCGGCAACAGATCGTTTTATAACGGAAATCAACACATATTTATATATATTTCACATACATCATTATAGCTTATTCAAGTAGACAAACGCAGGCTTCTGATTGGTTGTTTCGGGTAACCATCGAAAAGTGGAGCCATCTATCTGCGATGCATACTAGCCCACGTTAAGTTTGCTGTGATTGGTTGTTGAATCGGCCTTGTTCATATTTTCTCACGGCCTATATTAGTGACCTAGACATTGACGTAGATTAATGTCTACCAATTGGCTAGCAGCTTGCTCTCAACACATTATTATTTTAGTATATATTGTCATAATTTCTACATTTCGCAGAATGAAATGTTTCAAATATAACGCTTTTACTCGGACTATCAAATGGTCAGAAATTAGTTTTCAATCTAGTGTACAGTCTGAGTGAACATCTTACTGAAATTCTAATCCTTTCTTTAAACGTTAGGAGTGGAGCTTTTCTTGAGAGTTGGTCAGTGGGAAGGACGAAATCAGTGTGAATATCATCTGTGATGCAATACTTTATTTTCAGGTTACGTTTTCTGCACCACCATGGGTAAGAAAATATAATAATAATAATAATGATTTGCCTTATTCCAAAAACAGTACTTGTGATACAGAATGGAATTTTCAGCATTAATCACAATATTGCATCTAATTTCCTCAAATTATAAATAAAATTAATCACACAGAAAATTTTCCACATTTACAATAGAGGTAGTGTCAAAAACATGCAGCATATAAAATGGAAATAATAATAATAATGATAACAGCTAGGGTAATAATAATAAGAATACAAGTGAAAATTGCCGTTGGCTTGTGCCACACAGTATTGTCAATGTGGTATAGAAATCCTAACATGTTTAAAAATATTGAATATAATGTTCTTTCTACATGATATGGTGAGGGGAAAAACAAAGATTACAGCCGTCATGGAGATAAGTTGGTGTTTGCAATTATGAGAGTAAAACAAAGAAGTAACAGGACCATAAATATAATAGAAGTAATAAAAGTAAAACTTGAAGGTATATAAGGATGGATGGAGGAAATTGTTTATTTACTAGATGAAAGAAGGTTAGTTAATTCTTGCCTGACACTATTTTCATCACATAAAATACGTGCCAAGTATGGTATCATAGAATTCTTATACTTAGACGTGCGAGCATACAGTTTTCTGAAGTTACTCCTTGTTCTACCTGAGGAGATGCAAGGTGAAAGCTGAGGGTAAAGCGGATGCTCCAAGTCAGACAAAATCCCTTTAGCAAATTTATTGCACGAAGTCAAGTGCCTATCGACAACGACGTTAACTATGTGGTCCACTGGGACACCACTCACTCTACTGACAGTCTTCAGTATTCTACGAATTGTGACATAGTCTTTTTTAAGCAAACCAGGAAAGAATAAGGGTGAGCAATAAAGAAGAATAGGTAGGATGCAAGAGTTTACGAACTGTAGGATGAGGGGTTGAGTTATACCCGAGTGTCTTAACTTCTTAATGTAAAATGTCAAGCGGAATATTTTACTGGAGATTGCTAAGACATGGGAAGACCAGGAGAGATCAGAAGAGAGAATGAGTCCAAGATACTTAATTTCTGATTTGATTCCTATATCATTGTCGTCAATTTTACAACTGTCATGAGAATCGATGACTTCTTTTAACTGTCGTTTACATCTTAAGCTGAAATCAACAGTTTGACACTTAGAAGGATTCAGTTTAAGACCGTTAGACTCAGACCATTTGCTGACTTCCGATAGAAAGCTATTTATTTTAGTACAATCTAGCTGGGAGTTAACAGCCATTGAAACCGTTAAATCATCAGCATACTTCACAAAGTTTATTTCATCAGAGTGAGGCAAGTCGTGCAAGAAGAAAGAAAAAAGAAAAGGAGAAAGAACAGCACCTTGAGGGACACCAGCTTCAGTAGGCAATGAAGTGGAGGACTTCCCTTTATATACGGTGTACTGCTTTCTATCTGAGAAATAGGAATGCAACCAGTTAACAGCCCAACATTCTGTTTGACTAGCAGCAAGTTTATTTAATAAGATGTCCCTAGGGACCGAGTCGAAAGCAGATGTATAGTCTAGGAAGGCGCAACGAACAAATTTAGCCCCCTTGTCTAGACTGGAAGCAATGTTATGATATAAGACGGCAGCTGCATCTAAAGTGCTTCTACTGTGCTTATAGGCAAATTGTTTAGGGTCATTAAAGGATTTAAGCGAAGGTTCAAGACTAAGTAAAAGTAATTTCTCCATAGTTTTCAAAAAAGGAGACGTAATAGCAATGGGTCTAAATTTGACACATGCTCCAGTAGAAGATTTAGGTATGGGTACAACTTTAATGTCCTTCCAAACGGCAGGCACAATATTATCGGAAAAAGATTTGTTAAATAGATCAGTAAGAGGGTGACACAGAATATCAGAACATTTTTTAAAAATAATACTAGGTACATAATCGGGACCTAAGCTCTGGGAAGGGTTTAGAGACTTGAGGCACTTTTGAACATCATTTGTGTTAAAACCTGGAAAGGGGCTATTATTAACACAAGTGATGCTGGGAAGCATGGCATTTGAGGGAGAGTAAATAAAAGATTTGTTAAGAGTACATACATCAAAAGAATATGGAATATTGTTTATCTGCTTACCACCAGTGATTTCCTTAAATAGTTTCCACATATTAGAAGGATTTTTGCAGGACATGAATTTCTGGTTATATATTACATTCAACCTCTGCATTTCAGACTTAATTAAGAAGTTAGTTCTTTTTACACCAATTTTATCTTTGATTTCATATAGTTTTTCCTTCTCTCTACGAAGCTTTTTAAGTTGAGGCGAGGAGAAACGGTCAAATTTGACGAATAGTGTTTCTTTTGGACAACAGATTTCAAAACAGAATTTCAGATAGGATGTAATATTAGAGATATTGTCATTAAGTGAATCAACATTAAACAAATCCCATCTTGTGTCACTGAGCATGTTTCTAAGATGATGTACGTTCTCATTTGAGTAGCATCTGTGAACAACTTTCTTAGACAAGTTTGAGAGGGCTTTACTGTGTAACTTTCCGTAAATTTTGGGTAAGACTCGTACAATACAATGATCAGAATTGAAGAGTGGGGCTCTTTTACGAGCTTCGTATATTCCAGAATCATTTATAAATACTAAATCAAGTGAAGTATTTTGTCGAGTTGGGAAATTAACAACATTTTCATGGCCCAGCAATGTAATAAAACTGCAGTCGCTGGAGTTGAAGTCGCCGGTCACTATAGATAAGGAGTTACCAAACGAAGCAGCAGCAAAAATAGTGAATTCATCAGCGAAGATAGATAGTTCTGAGGGACTGCAACAAGGTGTGATATAGATATTTGTGACAAAAATGGAGCTGTACTTAGGTAAGTGTTTAGGTCGACATTTTACAGTTATACAGTCAATATTGTCATTTGAGAATTTGAAGCAGACGTTGTTGGCAGTAGACCACTGAGAATTAATAAAAGTGGCAACACCACCACCTCTCTTCTTCTTCGAGCTGCATCGGTCTTGTCTGTAGATTGTGAACCCACTTAAGGAGACTAAAATGTTGTCATATGAATCATGGAGCCAAGTCTCTTGAAGAGTGATTACACCAGTATTACAATATACATTTGAGTATAATAGAGAATGCAAGTAGTTAATCTTGTTCGATAATGACCTGCAATTTGTGCTCATAATCACAGGAACAGTCATCTGATGCATTGGAGTACACTTTAATGATCTCTGCCAACCTCCATGATGCTTTTTCTTAACGTTATTATATACTCGTAAATCAACGGGGGTGAGTATATACGTGGTTTCGTGTTATATTTTCCGCGACTAATTTGTTTTCGTCTTTCATTGGCTAGAATGGTGGCGGTCAATTGTAGTTTGAATTGTCCTTGGGTGCGTGCTGTCGGGTGCTGTATTTGCGTGGTTGTGTTTGCGTCGTTTGCCAGCATATGTGATTACTGCAAACGTGTATTAGACTATTGTAACGCTTTGTTTTTCTTTGTTTGTGCATGTACTAGGCTTTATTTGTCGTACAATTCGTTGTTTGGTGTATTGGTTGCTTGCGATGTCAACGAACCGGTGGGTTCTTGTGTTTTTCTGTAATTTAGGTTATACGTGCGGTATTTTCTTGATGGTTATCGATCATCCCTGTATTTCAATGTTGTGTTTTTACGATTTATCTTGGAATAGTTGTGACATAGATGGATCCTAATTGATAATTTTATTTTAGTCCGTTGCAGGTAGTCAATTCGAGTGACAGGAGCACAGATTTAAGTGGAATTTTTGCTGAATACATACTTGGAAAGCGTTTCTTCAGCTGGGATGAATTTGAGAAGTCATTAGCAGAATTTCAAAAAGTGAGGAAGTCATTTAATGCTAACAATGTAGTTATCCTACACTCACTATGTTCATAATTGCAGCAAAACGATACAGGATGACAGATTTAAGTACGCTTATGTTGGTTTTAAATGCACGTTTGGAGTGAATCGTACAAGACCTGGATTGAAATTGAAAAACAAGTCGTAAGAAGAAGTTTAATATGATTTCATGAATATTTCAGGTCTAAATGTTGCAATTGCTCGTCTTCATTTCGCGTGATTTCGCGTTATAGTGAATACATAATTGCTTCCCACAGTATGGTGCATAACCATCCATGCGGCAGGGTGTACATGCAGAATGACCCGTGGTATAGACGACTAACAGCTGAAGAGAAAGAAAATATTGAACCACTTCTTCAGCAATCCCACTCATCCGATGAAATAATAATGCATGTTAAGGAGAAGTACAACAAGGATATAACTCGCATTGACGTTAAAAATATGAAAGCCGCAGTGAATAAAGGTAACGTTGACGTACTTGTTACATACTTAAGGTATTTCGAGTCGTCGTGACATTTTTGAATTCCTAAAATCCCGTGGGAAGTTAATGGAGTATTATTCCGATGGACCGATCAGGAATTCACTAACAAGAATTTGTTTTGCAACTTATGAGCAAATGGAATTGTATAAACAGTTCCCTGAAGTTGTTGGTATCGACTCGACGTATAATACAAATAAGGGGAAGTAAGTTTACCAATTCATTAACCAACGTGCAGGTATTCTTTGTTCCAATTACTTGTGATGGATAATTTTGGTCGTGGACGACCAGTTTTATTTGCGTGGACTAGAAAAGAATTCAAACGAGATGTAGTTTGGATATTAGACTGTTTCCGGCAAATAATGGAAGACACCTCCAAAACAGAATCCTTCATTATGGATTGTGCGCAAGCTGAAATAGCAGCCGTCAAGTTAACACACAGACAAGCGCACATTGTTTTGTGTTCTTTCCATGTTTGCCGAGCTTTATGTTGGAAAGTAAGTTTTTCGAAGCATACTTTACATTTTATTCGTAGACAAGAAATCCCATTGTGAAGAATTATTTATGCCGTCTAGTGCAGTGTAAAAGGAGATCAGAGTAATGCCTCTATTGTTCTCATTTTGCAGATTTAATTTCTACTTCAGAGTTATTAGCAGATTGGATGCTAATGTCAGTCAATATCTACAACGTCGTTGGATGCATCGACGAGAATTGTGGGCAGCCTGTTTCAGAGATAACGTGCTGACTTTTGGGAACGATACAAATAATCGTGTCGAGAGTTCCCACAAGCGGATGAAACGGTTTTTGCAAAGATCTGATAGTCTGCATAAAAGTATGCTAAAGGTGTATAAATGGCATAAACGAAGTTTTTCAATAATACAGCAGGAGGCGAATATTGCTCAGTCACGATGCTTCACGTATCCCCGTTCACAACGTCTAATCCCAATTATACGGTTGCTGACGCCATACGCCGCGAGGAAGGTAATACGTGAATACCAATGGCGACGATGGGCTATTGTTGAGTTTGAATCCTTTGATTATGTATTCTTCAAAGAAAATGGGAATACAGTGCAGGTTGATCTGAGTGCTTGCACCTGCACGTGCTTTACATTTCAGACCTGTCGGTACCCCTGCCGACACTTGCTTTTGGTCCACTTCAGAAAGCCGTATTTCACAGGTATATTTGCGTTTTTATGACTACGTTTTTAATGTATAATGTAATGTAATAATCAGTTCATAGTTATCTTAACGTTTTTGTTCCACCTTTTGTAGTTAACCATGTGATGCATAATTGTAAACAATGGACGTGGTCACGCAACTTGTTCGCATCTCAAAGTACGTCAGCAGTTATCCCTCGAAATCAAAGTGACATATACGATACCAAAAAGAAGATTATCATTGCGGGTATGAACAGAATTAATGACAAATTTGGAGAAGTGTTTGCCAATACTTATGCAGACGGAGTAATCGCAGGAATCAATCGTGTTCTTAATATGTAAATAAACTAAATTTGTATCATAATGAAAATAAAATTTTCATGTAAATTTTGTTGTCTTTCAATTGGTGTGGTGTGGGGTGGTGTTGTGGGGGAGGAGGTATTCGTTAGTACCACATGATTCAACAGGATATTAGACATCAGTAATAATAGTAATAATAATAAAAATTGTTTCTTAGCTCATTCATTTTCAAGTGATGAACAGTCAGTCTGTCTATTCGATGATCTTGTTCCTCCCTCCCTCCATATTATAACAACAGCAGATGAGTAGTGAAGTGTAGCCAGCCAGCCAGCCATCAACCCAACCAACCAACCACAAGTCACTGACGACTACATTCACTTGCTCTACACACTTAGCGTTAATACCAGGATAATACAGACAGACAGACGTGAAACTGGCTGGCTGGCTGAATAAACCGACACTATGAGTTGGGTGTCGAACAGTATACAATGATTATTATTACTATTATCATAATTATTCATCTGGCTTAATCCTTCCTACCCAGTTTTCACAATGTGCTTGCTATTGCATAGAAACAGAAACACCAGAGAAATGAGAGTTTTATGTAACTAAGCGATTGTAGCACACTAATCGAAACGGTATTATTTATTAACTGATGACCACAGTTCGAGCACATTTTATTACTTTTCATAATCATGTCAAGGCATTTGAACGGATAACTTTCGAATGTTTGTTTATTTGTAATTTCAATACTTCTTATCCTTTAATTTTATTGGATGATAATACTCTGCATATCTTTCAATGAGACTATGAAGTCAATAATATAAGTCAGAGTAGTGACTGACTGACTGACTGAGTGTTAACAAAGAACTCTGCACAGGAGTGCAGTATTTCGTATTACCACATTCGATATATCACGAAATAGCGGTAAAAAATAGATTCAACAGAAAAATAATGGGCAGAAATGTGAGGGAAAGAGAATAGAGTAACATGGAAAAACAATAAGGTTTATTTGATATGCCAAATCATAAAGAGTAAATGTTATTATTGACCTATATCTCACCACTTGTCTCTCCAGACTTCATTGGTTCTTAGAAATACAGACCACTGCAAGCAGGAAGCCTACACCCTTCTATGTGGATGAATTAAACTAAACTTAATTGGATTTTAGATTTTTCCCGTCGATTGATTGGATGGAAGTGCTCAGTCTCAGGTTGACATGTTGGCTTCTTGTACAGATGCTTCGACGATGTCTGGGCATTTTGGATAGAATTTAATTTGTGGATGGTGACTAGCAATGGAATCCAGACAGGATGCGCATTTCATCCTATTTGGGACTCGTCATCTCGATGTACCTGCATTTCCCAGTGGGTGCTAATGTTCCCAGCGAAGCTTGAACCCAGTGCCCATCGTTTCATTCAGCTGACGAGCCCCGAATAGGACGAAGTGCGCGTCCTGGATTCCGCTGCTGGTAGTCACTATCCTCAAATTAAACTAATTGTCTAAGATTTCATGGACTGATCGACCGATGCCAAAGTTTTGATTCGACTTCATCACTAACTTTTTTCCAACATGAGCGTTTCTATATTAGCTAACATTTCCCGGCGACGAAGACGATGGCTAGACATGCATGCGTAATACATGTCGTAACCATCTCAATCGATGCAGCTTCACAACCTCATCGATTGACTTTCCCTGCTTATGTAACACTCGACCGAAGCCTAACCTCAATTATTACACACTGCATCATATTACCTAACATGGGAGATATAGCGTAGACTCCAATGGTCAAATGCCGCCGGGCTTTTCGTATCTTCCACTTTCGGTGACTTTGTCTCACTGACAGCCAGCCATAAAGGAGGATAGAACGAAAGGGTGCTCAGTACACACGTTCTTTGGATTAATTGCCTAGGAAATAACACTTGAAAATTAATGGAAATGTATCGAGAATGCAAATCTGCTTGTGTGTGTGTGTGTGTGTGTCTGTTTATGTGAAATACACGTTGAGCGACTTAGTCATGCATTGTTTATTTAAATAGCTTTTGAGAAAAAGCCTATTACATCTTGTGATTTTAGAGACAGTTATCTATGCTTTTGACTGATTTCAATTGTAGTTCATTATCTAATCTAGTTGTATAGCGATTTTTCAGTGTTAGAAGCAGAGAGCGAAAGGGACACGCACACACACACACACACACAGACACAGACAGTTAAACAGTTTGTAAGCCAAACAAAGCTTGTCTCTGAGTGAATCAGTTGGTTTTAATACCACTCTAGGTTCAGCTGACTGAAGAATCCTCCTTAAAAATCACAAATTAGTAGAAGTTTGAATTTACGGATTGGTCAGTGTGTCGCGTCTCAGTGGCTGAATGAATGGTCTACTTGCTTGACTTGTGACTGGAAGGTCCTGAGTTCAAACTCCGGTGTGTTTGTGTGTGTGTGTGTAGTGCTGAAGTTTCACAGATAGTAAAGACGAAACAGCTAGTTTTCCAGTACTCCTTGATGGTTTTCAGTGGTTCTCTAACTGATATCAGTTCGCGTGACCATACTTAAGAAAAACTTCTTAAAATCCTGTGTAAGGCCTACTTGGAAGTAAGCACGTAATACACGTAGTAAGAATGACGCAACATCTATCCTATATATAAATCTATATATATATATATATATATATTATTATATATTAAGTGGACTGGAGGCTGACTGATTGGTTTCAACGTTGAACTTCGCAACGATGTGCAGCAGTTCAACTCGGCACACTCCATGTAACACACAAAGCAAGAGGAGAAAGTAAAAAGAAATGCAAAACAGACGCCGTCAACGCAGGCAAAAGAGGCAAAAAGAATAGTAATATCGAAGAACAATATACATTGCTAAGGCACTGATGATTCACAAGGAGAAGTCTATTCTGTTACTACTCATGATTTGTGAACCTCTTAATTGACGCCTTTTAACCATTCTTTCTAGGCTATTGCTGATTCTATCTCATCTTCTAAATTATTCTTCATTATTGTGCAACCAGTGACGGAAGTCTAATTGGTTCAACAAACTTTAAGCAACATTCTGAGTAATGATTACTGCTCAAAAGTATCCTTCTGATTCTACTTAGTTTATGTTGAGAAAGATATTTGGATGAGTTATTCTTCTGATGCATTGTTGACAAACTACTACAGTTGGTACATCCTAATCGCCTGACACAGTGTAACCGCATGGATTAACTGTTTGGAAATCGAGTCTTTACTGAAGTAAACTGGTCTTTCACTTTAAATCTTCTTGGATTAGTATATTTGTCTCATGGAAATGAAGGCATTCGTTCGCTGTTTTTGGCATTAAGCATTTAAATGTGAGTTCATCACTGAATGTTAACAAAATTCGAATTAAAGTGGTGTAAGTATTTTGGTTTGGAATAAGTGGTGATCAAGGACTAAGTGATGACATGGTCAATAGCATTGAGTTGAAGATGTTTAACTATTCGAGAAACAAACACACGAGATAAGAACTGAGTTATACTCAGTCTATAAACAGTGTTTCCAGCAAGTATGGAACACCATAATTTGACAGGATAACTTCTCATCCTTGTTGACCATCTTAAATCCCAGAGCTGTCGACATCCGTCTCTATGTCATAATATATTGACCATTCAAATACATCATTGTTGCATAATTTGTCCTCATAAGCATTTTTCACTAGCTTCCAACCACTTGGAGGCTATCGGTAGGAAGCGAGGGAACTTTTAGGAATCCGTCAATAAGACTTTTCTGTCGCCACGACCATTCGGGCCCACGTAGCCCTTTACGACAGTCGGTGAGCTAACACTAAATGATTCGTCACCAAATTATTAGTATATATTCGTTAAACATGTGGGCACCTCTGATATTGAATCGTAGTGGCATAAAGTGAATATATCAACATATGTGACATTTGATGCGAGGAAACACTATTGAGTAAAGAAGATCAACAGAGCATATTGACTGATAAATATCACATTATATGGAAAGACGTAATATATTTTGAATTTGGTTTATGATAATAATGTATATTATGCCTAGCTCCTTCATTCATAATTCAATTCATAGTAACATTTATGATTGTGTACTTAACAACTAAGTTGCATTAGCTCATTTTGATGACAAAGTACACTTGGTTTGACTGACTGTTTCACGGTTTCAACATAGAACATTCAACAAAGGGGTAGAAGTCCATTTCAACACACTCCATATATAAAATACAAAATAACTGAGTCAGCAAATAATCTCCTTTTTCGATAACTTTCTCTTCTAACACCACAATTAAACATATAAGTTTATCTACATAGAATATTCCAGAATAGGAGTCAATTACAATGTTAGCGTTTTCTACATAATATCGATTTGTTAAGTAAGATCACAGCGGAATTACAGCTCATTCAAGATGTTTAAATTATAATATTAATAATAAAGATATAGTAGCGAATAGAATATCAACTAAAATTAGGGAAATTCCTCAAAAATTCAAGATCATTCAAACCTAGATGGCCAAACGGGTAAGGATAATGTCTGAACTAGCTTCTTTTGGATGCACAAATTAGGCTTGTTAATATAGGATCCCAACAGCCAGACTCAGCAATATTTAGTAGTTGAACTCTTAAGGCAAAATTAAGCTTCGTTGGTTGGTATGCAGTAAATGACCCTGAAAGCATGGTTAACGTCAATCTTGTGTTCTGTATCCACAAGATGAGATAGAGTAGCGCTAGGAATGAATTTTGTTTGTCCTTTACTTAACCAACCACTATGCAGGGTAATGTTCGGAAATTCGACGAGAAACACGCCTAATTGCACGGCCTATGCAACTAACTGGCTCCACAGGAGCAGTTAAATTGTAATCTATGTAATCCACACAGATGGAAGAAGACATGAAATACTCAAAAGAATTATTTTGAGCACCAATATACTTTAAAATGTGAGAATTCAGTTGATATAGGATATCACAAAGACTGACTGCATCTCAGACATTGAGAACCATCATTTTCAGCTATATCATCAACAGTTTCAAGTCAACAGTGTTTAGTATTTCAAGGAGGAGCCCAACCAGACAATCTACACCTCACAATGTGGGTGGCAGTAATCTGCCAAATCATACAGTGACAGAAGTTTCCTTCT